AGGTTGTAGAGGACGTATGGAAGGGGCTCGACATCGACGAAGATGAAACGCTGGAAACGGAGGGTCTACAGGGGTTCAAGGAGAAGGTATATGTTGCTTGTGCCGAGAGAGAAGAACAGAGTGTAAAGAATGAATCCAAGGATAAGGAGGGTCTAGAAGTGTACGGAATGTTGAAGGAAGCAATAGGGTTCAAGGAGTACCTACATGGACCAATGGATGCAGGAACAAAGCTTAAGGTCAAATTCAGGTCCAGGGACATAAGCCTTCGAGATCGTCGACGAAGACATTGGACGGTATACGACGAAGACGAGGAGTTCAAATGTGATTGCGGCTTCGAATGCGAAGACCGTGTTCATGTAGTCGCGGAATGTCCGTTGTACAAGAAGGAGAGGGAAGTGTACGTGACTGAGCTGGGAAAAATAGATGGAACGTACAGGGAGATGTTTGAGGCATGGAATAGAGAGGAAAGGACGGTAGCTGTACTGGGGCATAGGAGGTGGGTTGAAAAGGCGGGAAGGGATATCGTTAGGATAGACAGACTAGGGAAGACATTTTTGAGCCACCTTTGGCAAAGTAGAAAGGAACGATTGGCCATCGGTGATCGGTCCGGTGGGAACAATGCTCCGTCCTCTCGAGAACGCGTGGTCAATGGTCTAACCGCTAAGGCATGCAAAACATAAGAGTACGCCCCCCCCCCCTGGACCGACTTCCAAAGCTCGATTGCTCTACAACCAAGCTTGTGCCAACACCAACACTAGTGGTGTTGGAAACATCCCGCGGAGGGCTTTCCGGCGACGTATCGGGATCTTTCCTAGCGCACTTGCTTGTGGAGCAATCGGCCTTTCGAACATCGGTCTAGGGGAGGTGCCATCTCTCCAACTCTTACGGAATACCACGGTACGGTATACGGTACGGTACAGACAATCTTGGTCACGGAGCAATCGAGCTTTCACAATCGGTCTAGGGGGGGTGCCCTCTGTCGCACCCTTACGGCAATTTCGCCAACGATGTTGACGACCAACAACAAACGTCCACCGTCTCGCTACCCTTCTCTAATGTGTTCCCATTTTCTTGGCCTACCCCGTGTTTTTCTGCAGAGCCGGCTTCGTGGAACTAGCCCGAGCGCGGCGGGGGCAGCGGCGGGTCCAGGACCCGTCCCTGGAATGGTGCAAGGAAAGATCCCGGCAACGCTCCCCGGAACGAGGTCGACGCCGTTCGTCGTCGGACAGGCGCCGATGCCGGTCGCCCCGGAGTCACTCAAGGTTCGTTGAAGCCGTCCTGATGGTGCACCCGGCGGGGCGCGTCAAAAACTCTCCCTCTTTGCTATTTCAGCCGGCAAGAAAAACGAGTTCCTTCCATGGCCCTGCAGCACAAGTGAAGGCGGCACCTCCGAAGGGTTAAATAGTCGGCGGTTCGATCGATCTCATCTCCTTGTGCTTCCCTTTCCCTTCTCTTCTCTTGTTTGATCCGCATACCCAAGCATTGTTGTAGCGACATACGTCCGTCAGTAGTCTGCTTTGTACCTGTCCTTCTTTTTCCCTCCACCTTTTCTTCTTTGTTTGTTAGGCCATGAGTGCGGCGATCACGCACAACCGGCCGTCACTTTGATAATATCCTCCTGCTCTTTTGCAAGGCTCTCTATGCTTGGTTTTTGCCCATGCTTGGAGGGATCTGGGGTGTGGAGCTCTTAAGCTAGCGCCACAGTCAGTTTTGTGCTCAATGCCCCATGGAAAGCCTGCCAGGCCATTGAGTGTTGACCAACTCTGTACTGCAGAACTCGTCACCTTGCTGTTAACGATTGATTTGTTGGCACGTGAGGCACCTCGACTTGTTACGACAAGCTCACACACGTCGAAATTTCGAAGTTCCTTCGTAGGCTTCCGCCCGGCTTTCCCCCCTCACATTTCTCGCTTTGGCCTCACTTGTTTGCCGCCTTTTTCTTCGCCCCAGGTGAAGCACCTCGACTACGACGACCTCCACGTGACGCAGGGCATCCGCGAGGAGGGTCTGAGGGGGGGGGGTAACCGTGGGGGGCGCGGTCTCGACATCAACGACGCCAGGTATGCACAGGCCGGAGTGTCGTGTCTATCGCCTGCCTTTCGTGTGTGCCCGAGGTTGTGTTTGCCAACAATAATACATGCGAGTGTTTTATGCTTTCGAGATGCTTTTTTTCTTCTTTTTCAAAGTTGGCATCGCATGCGTTCGTTACCCACTATTTCACTGTGTTGTTGCTTGGACAATGTTCGACCTTCCCCGCCATCGCACGGAAACTAGCCGGATAGCGTAGGCACTTTCACGGGTTTCCGTGAAAGACAGTCGGGGTCCACGGGTTGCCGCACGAACCACAGCGTCGCTTTGAGCAAGTTGCTGTCTCTGTCATGTGCCGGGCTTAGCTGTGACCCTAAATACCGCCCGGGGAGCACTACTCCTTCCGTCCGTACGGGCCATTCGAGGGGATGGTAGTTGGGGGTACTCAGCACTCGATACAGATCTACGGAGATCCAAGGGTTTTTTTCGTGTATCAATGTGGTGTGTCTTTGTAGAGGGGCGATCCCCCTTGCGCGCGCGTGGACAGGCATGCCCGGCGCTCTCATTAATGATACAAGGTCTTGAGTCAACCTTCCCTTCTCTACGCTCCTGACACCAAGCTGCTCGCCTCCAAACGTGCCTCTGGCAGTTAGCGCGGACACTTACGAACTCGGCAGTCAAGAACTTCATCCTAATGGTTATATCAAACCGTAAGACCTTGAGCACCATTTGCGAGCCCGCGTTGAGAACCTCCACACGAAAGCCTGTATGTAGGCCGATTGTATGCATGGCCCTGTGAAGCCCAGCTTTAGCCAAAAGAAACACGTGCGGGGCGATTATATCAAACCGTAAGACCTTGAGCACCATTTGCGAGCCGGCGTTGAGAACCTTCATACGAAAGCCTGTATGGTGGCCGGTTGTATGCATGGCCCTGTGAAGCCCAGCTTCAGCCAAAAGAAACACGTGCGGGGCGCTACTAGTTGTGCCACTAGGGTTTGCCAAAGTTTTCGCTTACACGCGAGCTACGACTGGGATGGTTGTCCTCGTCTCTCTGTGTTTGTCGGGGGTTAGGTAAACCATGCCAATGTATGGCAACCAGGTCAAGCGCGGTGCTTTTGATGTGAGTCAGGGCGGGGCTAGTGCCATCACATGTCCACGACGGTTGTCCCTTTGCTGCTGGAACATGGATGGACTACCTAGTTCTTTCGTTCATCATGAGGGCTGACGGGAAAGCTCGACGCATTCGTCTAGCCCGTATGTGGCCTTTGGCTTGCGTGTCTGCAAGCAGCGCCTGACGCCTGCTACCCTTGCATGAAATCTCCGGACGCAACCCTACATTTTCCTGCCGAATGTTTGTAATCTAACCCTCCCCCCCCCACCTCCGTCCCGCCCGCCCTGTTTGCCCCCCCCCACCCCCCTCTGTTGTTTCACGCATCCCTCAACCACACAAAAGGGACACCGACCTGTTCGCCAAGATGGCTGCTGCGGCGAAGCTGACGGAGGCCCGGGTTAACGCCGAAGAAGGAAGCCGAGACCCGAAGGGGAGAGCAACGACAGCGGGGCGAGCATCATCGAAATCAGCGGTAACAATTCAGGAAGGCCGATACGGTACTGATTCCGCCGCCGCCGGTGTCGGCGCCGAAAGAAAACCACGCAGGAGTACGAGACAAGGCGGGGGGGAGGGGCACGCCGAGGAGGACGCGAAGAGCGAGTTTGCACGCATGGCCCAAACGTTGAGGCAGCAGAGCGGGACCAAGGGCGTTGGGAGGAAGCAGCCGGCGGCTATGGATGTGGATTCAGACGACGAGGAAGAGGAGACGGTTACGCTTGAGGGAGAGTTCAAGTCTGCGGAGGAGGTGCCGCGAGCATCAACTGGTTCGGGGGGGGTGGCGGACAAGGATGGGCCCAAGGACATGGACAACGATGACGACGACGACAACGACGACCTTTTGTCGGCCGTCAAGAAAGGGAAAGGCCGCGGCAGAGGGAAAGGGAAGGCCAAGGGCAAGAGGGGCAAGGCATGACTTAAGTGACCTTACGTCGGGTTACATGAGCACGATAGATTGACAGGCGTTTTTTTCTTTACTTCGACGTAAATAGGTGTGTGCTTTAGCGGGCGGGGTTTGTATGTTGTTCGGTAAATCTCCAGCGGGTGCGTAGGGGTATTTCTAAGGGGCGGGAAAACCGTTTACCTGTCCTGTTGCTACCTCCTCGGGTCTCGAGCCACACGGTGAGTGGTGGCGGACAGCGGCAGTACTCTGTAGCAGCAGCGGGCACCTAACATGCTGACTGCCGGTTGTGTAGTAGTGTACCGGTTTGACGAGGTGTTTTGGAGTTTTGGCGGTGACCGTTTGGAATGTAGTGTCTGGGCAGTGTAGGGGAAGGGCGCGAGTCGGGGGGGGGAGGTAGGTGTGGAGGTTGTGAGACTTGTTCTCGGGGAATATCATGGTGAAAGCTCTTTCCTCTCCTTGTGGTCGAATGGCACTTGTTTTCTGCAGACAAGACGGTCCTTGCAGATCTGATCGTTGTTTCATCCGGGGTTGAAGCGATGCTGTCGCAGTCCGTCGCAGCCTTTGCGGGAGCGAGCGTTAAAGTGCCTCTTGTTTTCCTTGTCCTTGCATCACGCTTGTTTCTCGGCATGTGCAGATTACCAAGTCCTTCATCGTATTTTCGCTGGTCTGTCAATTTTCGCTGACGGGGGGACAGGTGTCACGTGGTATACATGTATCAACATCAACCAGTAGTCTAGTGGCATTCGTTTCCTCGCCCTGCATGCACTTTTGTTCTTCTCCATATAACGATGTAGACTAAACGGCTAGATGACTAATGGTCGTCAAGCAGCATGTAGTATCATGGCAACACGACCACACCGCTTCATCACCACGATCTTTTATTTTCTGCTGCAACAGGTGATATGCATGCGTATGTCGCTGCTGCTGCTGCTGCTGCTGCTGCTTTCTGCTGCTGCTCAGTTCAGCAGTTTCCCGCACAATATACCTGGCGGGGCACGTCATGGCATATGCATACGGAGTCTGACGGCTTGGCGGGAGGACTACCGCTATGACTCTCCGTCGCCACATGATACATGTGGAGGACCGTCGTTCAATTTTGCTCCGTATATAGCATCAATCAGAGAACAGCATCCATCCGCGCGACAGACGTTCACGGGCGTTCGTCGAAGTGACTCTTTACCCAACAATTACAGCACAGCAGTGTGATAAATATAGTGGAAGTTCAGCGATGCTTCCCAGACACCGGCACATGGATGGCAAGTAGTGGTTTGGAATCGGCAGTGCTATTTTTCGGTTTGTCGTTTTTTGGGTCTAAATGATGGATGCCGATTTGAAAGAATATCATACGCATACAGCACTTGACGAAGAGACACTGTTGCATGCATGCACCGCCGACTGCTGTGGGTAGCGCCGTTGTAGACGAAGAGCCAGCCACCAAAAATTACTTTCTACAAAGAACGGTCTACCGCCGCTGTATGATATGGTGGTCTATCTTCGCACGCAATATTCACGAAAACGTTCCGATCTCTGCCGCACCTGGTGATCCACAGATTTTGGTCTTATTCAGTCTAATCGTGGCTCGTCACACATATTAACGAAAAACACAGCATCCTCCATCCGTGCAGGAAATACATATGCATACGCGTAGCAGCAGCAGTAGTAAGTACTACGCGGTGACCAAGCGAGTGTTGTGTTAGGGCGCATGAGAATGCATCTGCACATGTGGGTGTTTTAAATGATTCCGAGCGCTTTGGCTCTTTGGTTCGACCGAGGAAAGAAGATGACTTCCCTGCTTACTTGTCCACTGCGTACTGCGTACTGGTATGATATTTATTCATTCGCCTGTACAGCATGTGAAGAAAACAACAACACCATCCACCACCTCGTCTTTGCTTTATTCTGTTTTATTTTGTCTTTTGTTTTGTTTTTTACTGGCACGTACCCCCGCCCCTTCCTTTGGCCGTCGACCTGCCTCCATGTAGTGGGAGGCTACCCCCCCAGGCTGGTGGTGCGGCCGTTCCACTAGTCTAATTATTTATTTTATTTTATTTTATTTGTTTCTGATTATATTTTGTTTTCTTGTATTTTATCGCTCTGCTGATCCTTGGGGTCCATTTTATTTTGGTATACCTTTTCTAGGTACGTTAGCCTGTGACCACGGAAATTGGCCGAGTCAAGTGATGGATTAGTACGGAGAGATTGAGACAGAAGGAGGTACTGGATAGAGAGACCGGGATGGTTTTTAATGTGAAGACAACAACAACAACAACAACCACCGCTCCTGCTGCTGGTGATGATGTTGTTGTTGTTGCTATTGAATTCAGAATTCCCTCTACACTATGATAAACATTCCCTCCGCTCTCTCTGTGCATCGGCTGTACACCCAAGCATTGCTCCAGCGAAAGTTTCACGTACTACTCAGAGGATAAGCGTCAATTCTCTCGCCGTCCCTACTTCTTTGATGAGAGATAGACACAGATTCTGGAGCACTAAATCCGAAATTCGCGCGCGGATGCCGTTGGAAGATAGATCCGTGTAAAACCTGCCCAAACATTTCAGTTTCATTATATGCAAACCCCGTTTTTTTTCGCGGCAAAATTTGTATTTTTGATGCTGGAGGAACAGAGGAACAGCAGCGCAAGTAGCAGTCAGTCTGGTTTTGAAAGCGGCGGCAGAGAAACGCAGCCCGCCCTTGAGTCGGACGGCCGGGCCAGCGCGCTGGATCAGCGTACCAGCTGCAGCACGCCAAGCGCTAACCCGGAAGTAGGCGTTCCCGATCTTTGACGGGCGCGGCAGAGTGAAGCTCTCGCTGCTCGGGGCGCTGCTGCTACACCCCGACACAATAACAGCCTTTTGGCTCTCTCATCACCCAACCTACACCAGAGAATGTTCTCCAGCGGGAGCGAGGGGTCCCCTCGCAACGGCAGGGACTACGGGCGAGGCACGAGCTCGGTCACGTCCACGATGGACGACGCCTTCGAGAGCACGGGGACCGTCGTTAGGGCAGATGGCCCCCTGATGTCGCCCGTGTTGCGCACGCTGGCCTCTGCCGGCTCCGGCCTTGCGGAGGGGATGATGATGCCCGTCGAGGAAGTGCCCATCCTACCCGACCCTGCTGGTGACACGAAGGGGTTAGTGGTGGCGGCCTTGCGCGCAGCAGGAAGGGGGCAGCAGTTCGTGCCGCTCGAGCCCCCTGACATGGAGGCTCCGCGAAGCACAGCAGCAAGGGCTCACCATGGCCGCGGGAGGCTGAAGCAACAGCAGCAGCAGCAGCAGCAGCAGCGCGAGAGTGACATGAGTGAAACATCAGAAAATGCTGAGGGTGGGGCGCACTTGACGGGCGGTCTGCCGCTACCTGTCGACTCCGTTGGCCCCGGGGTTCCGGACGGCGGGGTGGATGGGAGGAGAGGATTCCCACAACGGAAGAAGAAGACCAGCAACATCGGCGGCGGCGGCGGCGGCGGCGGCGGCAGCAGCGGCAGCGGCAGCGGTAGCAGCAGCAGTAGCCCGTCCCGTGTGCGTCGAAGAGGCAGACCGCTGTCAGAAGAACCAGAAAACGACGACGCCTCGGCGACCGTCAAGGGGAACAAGCGGAGACACGCGCCGCCGACCCCCAACCACCGCGTCTTGTCCGGGGCCTGGGGTAAGCTTGCAGCTCCGGAAAGGCCGGCGGCAGCAGCGGCGAATGAAGAACAGGGAGGGAAGGAGGAGCAGGGCAAGGACGATTGCGCCGCCAGCTGCGGCTCGCGGTCTTCGAGCGAGTTCACCTCTGAATCCAACGAGGCCGGCAGCAGCAGTGATTCGCCCTCGGCAGCAGCAGCAGCAGCAGCAGCAGCAGCAGCAGCAGTGGTAGTGCCACCGCCGCCGTCGCCGCCACTGCCACCACCACCAGCAGCTGCGCCCTCAGTTCCGAACGAATTTGCCGGCGATGCCGATGACAACGTCGATATCCCAGCCGCAAGCGACCTGCTGAGCGAGTTCGATAGCAACACCACCTGGGCCGGCGCCAGCGCGCTGAGCGTGGCGACGACGCGCACGGCCGGGTACAGCTCCCTCATTGAGACGAGCTCCGCGCTGTCCCAGTACCCAAGCAGCTACCGCTCGACGACCGCGGCTAAGCTGGACAACGCCGGGGTCTGGTGCGAGGAGTCGCAGGGCAAGAACGGCGACCTCAACGGCGTGTCGGTAACCACCACCGCTAACCGCCGGAGTCGGGGGCGGGCGAGCCCTTCTCACAACCTGCGGGTCATCGGCGGGACGCCGGCGCGCAGAGGGGTTCGGAAAGCGAAGCCAGACAACAACAACAACGGCGGCGGCGGCGGTAGCAGAGGCACTGGTGGAGGTGGCACAAGAGTCAACGGCAAGATGTCGGGTTCAGGCGGGGACAGCGGCAGCAACTCCGGCAGGCCACGGACGCTGGTGAGGCCCACGTCGACGCCGCGGAGAGCGGCCATGTCTCCTCACGGTGTGGCGATGGACGCCGCTTTAAGGATGGTGGAGGAGCGCGGGGCGAGGCTGGGGATCGTGAGGGAGGAGAAGGAGGGCGACGGTGCTGCTGCTGCTGCCACCGCTGCTGCTGCCGCGGCCGCCGCCAACCGCAGCGAGAAGGCACGCGAAGCGGCGTACGCGAACCAGATAGCGGCTCCGGCGATGACGTCTCTTGAGCAACGGCGACAGCGCGCTAAGGCCTGGGCACTGTCGAGGTACGGTTCGTCTATTTTCCTTCAAGTACCACATGCTCTTGCCTTTCATGTATGCATGCCTCTGTTTTTTCGCGATTCCCCAGACGGAGATCCGCTGCACTGCTGTGTAGAGAGGTTGATGTGCGTACATGACATGGTACACAGATGGCGCGGACTGGATGGCGCGCTGTCAGCCTTGTGTACATATGCATGTATTCGAAGTTTAGCGGGTGACGATAGCTTCGTAGTTGCCTGCCCCTGAAGTTTTTGCGTTCCTATGGGTCAGGAATGGGTCTATCCTTCAAGCTTGCCACCCTTTGGCTTGCGGAGAGATCTCGTATGCAGTAAGTTCCACAGCAGCAGCATCAGTCTGGAGGACACGCCAGGCGCGCGCCTGAAGGCTTTTATTTACCAGTTCGACTTCTTGCAATCAACCATGCTGCATATTTGATGTGAAGACAGCATCAACATAGGCACCATCGTCTGCGCCCGCTGGTATGTATTCAAGCGTACTTGCTTCTGTCCTCCCTCCCCTTTCTCCTAAAGAACTGCAGAGGGACAGCAGCCTAGCTGCATATCGAACAACGTTACACCTTCCTCCGATGTTTCTACCTCTCGATAAAGTAGAAGTATCCCGTTCTCTGCGATAGCCCGAATTCGTCTGTATCTCAATCAGCACAAACACAGAGTGTCAGATGTACGCCGGAACTTCTCGCGTACAGCAGCACCAAAAACGGGACGCACACGGCATCACGAACACTCTTTTGTGTTCGATTAAGTCAGCGAGCACACACAGGCAGCCAGCCCTCGGGGTGGTGGGGAAAATGTGGTGTGACACAACAAATTCATCGTGTACACATTAATCCGTAATAAATGTCCACTTGGTAGGATAAAATACCGATGAACTCATAGCGCTACATAGCGGAACACTACGTACCTGTGTTTCTGCGTTTGTTTCTCAAGCAGTATTCAGCGAGATACCTCCCCCGTGGGCGACAGGCTCCACCTGTGTGAGTGACTTTTTGATGTTTGGATCAACCATTTTGCAGCTCATCAATATCACCCGCCCCGCCCGTCTTTCTCGGCGGACACGAGTGAGTCCAGCCCCTTGTTCTGTTTTCCATTAACGAGGTCTTTCTTTATGTACGCAGCATATATATATTATAGTTTTATTTACTCAATATGGTCGTGACGACCATGTGAATCCACAACAATACTAACGAACGACCATGAATTCTTGCGCGGACCGCTGCTGGGTGCGTTACAGCACGGAAATACTGCGGACCGGTTACGCACACGTACTTGGCCCCAACCATCCGTCCCGTTCGCGGATGATTTTTTTGTCGTGCCGGTTGAACCCATGCCGTACGCATTCGAGTTTTGTTCTTTTTATCGCTCCTTCTTTTACTACATACACACCCGGGTTCCTAAAGTTGAGGATAGAGTGTTCACGGATTTTTTTGTGGTTCCTGCTCCTGCGCCATCAATGCCTTCCTAGCGGTGGGGACCCCGTTCGATTTTACGTCCAGTAGTTGCTTCGCATCTGGGCGACGACGAACGCCGGAGGAGCCCTCCCGGGTACACGCCCCTTGCAGAGAGCAGCAGCGACAGCATCACCGAACAGAACCAACAGCATAATCAACATAGCATCAGACAGCGGTGGCCCGTGCGTGAGTGCTGCAGCAAGGAAAAACGGGTTCCGTGAAGAGTTGCTCGGTGTCTCCGAGAGAGCGATTCCGGTATGTTCATATACACATGCTGCGTGACCCCGCTGCCACTGCTGTTCGTTGCCCTGCTGGATGGTGTCTTGTCTACTGTAGTCTAACATCAATCACCCTGGCTGATGCGAATTGTGCTCTACAGGAAGGTGTGCCGTTTAATTCGCCGACTACCCCTTAACATGAGTTCCGATAGAAATTGGAGAGCATGAAAGAGAGCCTATATTATGGGGTCTGAGCCGCCCAAGAAGTGTGAACAACACGTCACGTATGACCCTTGTTCCGTTCTCGCTTCCTGACGGAAAAACACCCGGCGATGATCGAGGACTATCCGTAAAGGTCTTACGACGGAGAGGGCAAGAGATGAACGGCACTTGAGAACGTCAAAACCCTGTTTAGCAAGCAAGGGAGTGCAGCAAGTCTTGAGGGGGGAAGAAGGAAGGACAATAACATGAACTGGGAGTGACACTCTCCAAGGTTTTGTCAGGATGCCCGTGTTTTTTGGCTCTGCTTGTCGGAGATGGAAATGAAAAGTTTGACCAGACGCTTCGAAATTGCAGGAACTGCTGTGTAGTTCAGACCACGAACAATCCCCCTGATTTCGAGGCAACGTCGCTGCGCCGCTCGCGTGCTGCGAAATGGCCACGCGTTCATGCGTTGCGGTGCCCTCGTGTCACACTCGAACTGAGCAACGGGTGGTGTCTGTCATGACGATGCTTTATAGACTACACCGATATCGTTCTAGCACAAGTTAGCTTGTTCCAGTGTGCGTCCTCTTGGGTGCGTTGCTCCTTTGGTATGCATATCAACCTTCGAAAAATCAATTTTCCATTAAGAATTGTATGCATAGACGGACCGAGGACGACAAACAAACGATCCCATGTGCGGTACTGGTATGTATGATACTTGGGAGACTTACGGTAGGCGCTGAGGTATGATAATCCTCACAGGCAGGTAGGGACTTGTCGGCAACGAAAAGAAGAAATAATCTCAGTGATGGCGCAGGAGTTGTGTAGCCTCGTCTTCGCGAGACTCTGCTTGCTAGGTTTCCGACAAGAATAACTGGGAGCTACCAATGTTGTCGGGGGGCGGGGGAGGCATGGGCGTGAGTGTTCCTCGATCTAGAGATGTGTGTGTAACGGTCTGGTGGCTGCATATGTCCTGCAGACTAGTTATACTGTAGGTTGCTGCCTGCCGTCGGCTAATATCTTGAAGGGTAGGTACATGGGCCTACGAAACCTCTGTTGCGAACACGCTCTGAGGTAAGGTGGCGCAAACGATATCGTACTTGATGGTGTAGGTATGATTCTGTTGATGTGCATACGGCAGATTTTAGTACTTTGGTACTTTATTACTTCCTAGAAGACCCCACGTCAGGTCAATCAGAGTCGTTGTGGACCGGTTTCGGGGTCCTCGTTGCTGAGAGGTAAGACTATCCAACTCACAGCATATTTACAGCAGGGAAAAATAGATGCCTGCTGAGGTAAGGGCTTGCGAGTATGTGCTCGGTTATAGGGGAAGCCAGCAAGCCGCATACCTAGCCCAGAGGAAGTTTTTTTTTTTGGGGGACCGCAGTAGCTTGGCGCACTCGGCGAGCCACCAAAGGTGAAGTTAACCTTTGGGAATTCTGTTTTTGGCGTTGTAGACCCCTTGCGGGAAATTTTATAGTGTTGGTATGATCTATGGGGAGGGAAGTCGACGAGCTCGTCTCGCATGTGCCCTGACCCTCCTTTTATAAAAAGCATCTGCGGCGGGGTGATGGTCCCTCGATCGCGCCCTCGCCCGATGTGCGGGAAATTTATAGTGTTGGTATGATCCATGGGGAGGGAAGTCGACGAGCTCGTCTCGCACGTGCCCTGACCCTCCTTTTATTAGCATCTGCGGCGAGGTGATGGTCGCTCGATCGCGCCCTCGCCCGATGGGCAGTAAAAGCACTGGTACTAAGTAACAGTTCGCACGCGCGGAACATTGCTGTGCGACGTCGCTTGTGTGCAGTGCAGAGAATCCGCATGCATGCAGGCCAGGCCCGCTTGCATGCTCCCATTGTCGACGTGTTTTTACGTACGGGCAGCGTGGGGTACGCACCGGTGCGGTCCGTGGCCTGACCACAATCGCCGGTCCGTGAACAACAAAATTTGTTGAGTGCTTGGCGGCCTCACCGATATGCATCGACTCTTGTATACTTGCCCTGCACGCTGCCATGTGAAAGGTTGTTTGTTGCAAGTTCCGCCACTGCTTGCTTTCTTCAGCTTGTTCTCGATTTTTGCGATATAAATCTGAATGTGCCTAGTCTACGTTGATCAAACATAGTTTTTGCAACACCAATGTGTCTATACTATGTAGTTGCTGATGGACCTGTTGGACCTGTCGCTGCCCTGTGCTTCCACGCCCACGACCATGTTTTTTCCCCCCTCTACCCAGGGCCGGAGGAACTTCGCACCAGATTCGGACGGGGGCCATGCCGAAGCTGGACAAGAACGGCAACAAGGTGGCGCGGCGCGGCGAGCGCCGGGGTGAGCGTCGGGGCAGTGGTGGTACCCGGCGTAGCGGCGACCCGCGCGGCAGGAGCGGAAGCACGCGCCGCCGGCATGACGACGAGGGGGGAAGGGGCGACGGCGGCGGCGGCGGCGGCGGCGTTTCGAGCTCCGGGTCCGAGGGAGACATCGGGAACCCGAGCCGCGAAGTAGTGACTCCGGCGAGGTCCCGCCGCTCTTCGAGGAGTTTGTCGGGCACGACTCCGGCGAGACATCGGTCATCTCGGAGCATCACCAGCATCGGCAGCGGGGGGACCGCAGGGGGGCGCGCGCCGCCCTTGCCGCGGGGGACCGCCAGGGATAGGCACTCGACCCCGGCGAGGGAGAGGGAGGGCCGCGCGACGAGCGGAGGAGGCGTCGACGGGTCTTCACGCGGCTCGCGGTCCTCCGCGCCTTCGGGGAACAGCAGCGACGACGGCACCAAGAGCAGGCGGGGCGCCGACGGGCGGCGGGAGACGAAGTCGCGGTCTGATCGGCGGCAACCCGCGCCGTCGTCTTCCGGCACCCCGAGCAGGGAGAGCAAGAAGAACGTGTCCAAGAAGTCGGCCGGGAGCGCCAGCGGGAGCACGAAGGGTGGGAGCAGCAGCGCCGGCGGCGCCGGCGGGAAGCACAACATGTCCAGCCTGATGGCCAGTCTGATGGTCGTGGCGCCTCTCTCGCGGCCCATTCCAACCGAGTCGATCGGCTACCTTTATGGAGAGGACGGAATGGACTCTCACTCGTCAACACCGCAACCGTCGCCGTCCCCACCCCCGGTCCCGCCAGCACCGTCTCGCTCGGAAAGATCGAAGCGAAGGGGGCTGGAGGCCGGGGGGTCTCCGCCCCGGCACGGGTACGATAACAGCAACTCGCGGTCGTCTCGCAACGACAATCTTTCTGAAGATCCGCTGGCGGCGGTGGTAGCCTACGGCGGCAGCGGCGCCCTCGACGTCTCGGGCGGTCAGTCCTCGCGACATCGTCGGGACGAGCGGAGCGGGTCAGCAGCTACGCCGCCGGAGTCACCATCGGCGGCGGTGGCAGCAGCATCCCCCCGCAGGGAAGGGACGAGGGTCAAGGACCACGAGAGGCAGCACTCGAGCACGGCCGTCAGCGACCTGGACAGGTCGACATCCAAGGGGAGGTCGGCTCGCCGGGCAGCAGCGGCGAATGCGGCAGCAGCGGCGGCGGCGGCGGCGCTTGACGAAGAGGAGGCCGAGGCTGAGGCTGCGGCAGCGGCGGGGACTTCGGCAGCGGCGGCGGCATCGGCGGCGGCAGCCTCCTCCTCCTCCTCCTCCTTCGTCACCAAGAAGGCGGCAGCAGAGCCGTCGCCTAGGCGCGGCAGCTCCACCGCCGTGGACAACACGGGCCAGCAGCCGTCGTCTTCCCGACGAAGGCTGTCTCCTGCTGGCGACGCCGCCGAAGGCGGCGTCGTACCGGAGTGGGAGTGGCGTCCCGAGGGCGCGGGCGCGCCGGTGACTTCGCCAAGGACGGAGCTTGACGCCGGCGGCGGCGGCGGCGGCGGCCGCGGCCGCGGTGTCACCGGCGGCACGGGGGCGCAACAACAACCACCAGCAATGTCGGAGGCCGCTGCTGCCGGCGACGTTGCTCCTGCGGAGCCCTCCACCGAGCCGTCTCCCGCTCCGCGACAGTTTACTCCCGAGAAGGTGGCGATCATCCCCGCCGGGAGGGTGGCCAGCATGGCGGCCAGCACCAACAAGAAGGTGCGGGAGGGCAGCAATAACACGTACGCGAGAGAGAAGGCTGTCGCCGCCGCCGAGGCGCAGGAGGAGGAGGCGGGGGAGGAGGGGGGGGCGGGGGGCGGCGCCGGGGGCTCCGCGGACAGGAAGACGCGGGCGGCCGCCATGCAGTCGGGCACGATCGCGGCGGCACAGGCGGCGGCGAAGTCGGCGGCGGCGCTATGGTTGCAGCGAGAGGCCGAGTTGAAGGCCAAGGACGCTGCGGCGGCGAAGGTGGGTTGTGATGTAATTTCTGTACGGGTCATTCTGTGATGTTGCGTGTTACATATGTTTGTTGTCAGTGGGCGAGTTTGCTGCAGGCAGCGTCACAGATTTTTGAACGCGTTCGTAGGAGAGAGCTGGGGTAGGAGGAGGTCATCGCTGCTTAACCTGAATCGGTTGGACTGCTTGTCAGCAAGCTTCGCTTTGCTTGGCCTTCGGGATGGCGGAGCGCCAGCAGTCCCTCCGCCCCTCAACCGACTGTAGGAGGAGCAAAAGAGGCTGACGGTCGGTGTTACTTATGAAGGGTTAGAATATCGAAAGAGAAAACACGCTGTCGTTGGGAAGGACTCTCGTTTGGCGGCGGTAGTGGTACCAGCAGCGGTACTTGTAGTCGTGTGCACAGGAAGGAAGGCTTTCCGGTGTACATGCACCCGCACCTTCGAAAGGGCGAAGCGCGAAACCGCGTTAGCTCTGCGTGGGTGGGGCTTGATGCTGCTGCTGCTGCCGCGGTTCCGCCACGTTATATTTATTCCGTGCTGAGTGCGGCGTCGTCTTTTTCAACGGAGGAACCTTAATCAATGCACCTCTACCTCGAAGCTTCGGCTGTTTCGCTTAAGTAGTCTTTTTTTGCCCCATGACTGCTGTTGTTTTTAGTTGTCCCGAGCGCAGGTGGCTCGACGGGAGGCAGACGCCAAGGCCCAGGAGACCGTCAGAGCCTTGGACAGAGCCAAGGCGGCAGCAGCCCAGGTGGCGGCGTCGGTGTCGCCGTCGCCGCCGATCGTCGCAGCGGGCGCCGGCGCCGGCGCCGGCAGCGGTAACGGCAGCGTTGGTTCCGCTCGAAAGAGCAACCTTGCTGCAGCAGCGGCATCGTCATCGTCATCGACGGCGGCGGCGCCTCCACCAAGTGCAGACACCGCGCCCCGCGGCGCCGATACCCCGTCGGCAAAGAACGGCGAGGCAGAGAAATCGCGGGCGACAGAAGCCGAAGCTGCTGCTGCGGTGGCGAATGCTGCGGCGGCGGCGGGTCGGGAACACAGCAGGGTCGAAGCGATGGAAAGGAAAGAGGCACGAGAAAGGTCCCGCGCCGCCGAGGAAAAGAGGCAGCAGCAGCAGCAGCAGCAGCAGCAGCAGCAGCTGGAAGCGAGGAGGGAGGAGGAAGAAAAGGCGAGGCTACGGCAAGAGAAGGAGGAGGCGAGAGCGGCGGCGAAGGCGGCAACGGCGAAGGACAGGAGGCTAGCGGAGGAGGCCAGAGCGGCCGTCGAGGCCCGGGAGGCGGGAGAGGCTGCTCGCGGTTCCAGGCGCAGAAGAGAGGAGGGCCGGTCGTCCTCCTCCATGTGGTTGGCCGGGAGAGAGGATCCGCAGGATGATGGAAGGGAGTCGTTGGAGAACGACGAGCCGCGGGTGCTGTACCGGAGGGAGAGGGGGGATAGCTCGGAGTCCGCCGAGATGCTGTCCGAGGAGGTGGAGGAGGAAGAGGATGAGGACGAGGATGAGGAGAGGATGGTGCCGCAATCAAGCGGGGACGACTACGCGGAGACGCTCCTGGCGGAGCACGCGGCGGCGGTGTTGCTCGAGAAGGCCGGGGGGAAGCAACAGACCTTCGTCATGCACAGGGTAAGCACAGCCTAGGTTACTTTCGCGTCGAGAGGACTACTAAGAGGGGGATAGGACGGTGCAGGCGGGGTCTGTTGGTAGCGGCGCGGCATTTGTTGTCTCGTTTTCATCATCCTCGCGTCGCGAAGATGCCTTTCGAAGAGGAGGATAGGACCATGCACGCGGGGTGTGGCCGTAGCGTTGTGGTGTCATTTTTTTTCGTGTCTTTTACACACCCACACAGTGTTGCCCCGCAGTAATTCGGCGTTTTTTTAGCTTGCTTTGCGGACGTCTGGCACGGGTAACGGCGGTTGCTGCTGTACAACTATTTAGTTCTCTCGAGCTCCGGAGGCTACCGAGCTCAAACCCGCGCTGTTTTTTTAGGAATAATTTTGATTGTGTTACAGGGTTGCGTATTTCCGACATTATCGTCTCATGTTGCGGTGGCATACACTGGTCACGTTTTGTTGTTTGCATGTTTGGTCGATGGTTGAGCCGCTGCCGGTGGTGTCGGCCCACGGCAGAAGAGACCCGTTTTGTGCTACCCTGCTGTCGGTTTTGCGTGGCGATCNGCGAGGTCAATGGTCTAACGACTACGGCATGCACGACTATGAGTACCCCCCCCCCCCCCCCCCCCCCTCTCTCTCTCTCTCGCTTTGTGTTTGTCTTGGTCGGTTGCGCTGGCGTGAAAATTCCTGAGGATGGGTCGAGATCAAACATCAATCTGTCCAACCCGGCTCGTCTTTCATCTGTATAGAGAGACTCGATTGTTCGTGCGGGGTGTGGGTGTGTGTAGTATACGCTGTGCGGCGGATTCCCCTTCCACTCTCTCGTGCGGATTTTTTTTTAGTTTCTTCACTCGTATAAAGGCCGACCGTTTGTGTTCCAGACCAAGCAAACGATTCAGAGCTGTCCTGCGGGAGTTCTTTTGTTTTGCCGAGCCTGGTTCGATCGGACGGCGAAAGAAGAATAACTTTGGGGGTATTCGCTGTCGCCGCCGTGTCGCAGGCCCTCATGCTTTCGTGTTTTTTTTTTTCGTGTTTCATCTATCATCGTAGTTGTTGGGGACATCCCTGGATTATCCCGTTACTGCTGTAGCCCTCCGGATTTCCGTGCGATAGGTGGTAGATACGTGCAGACAAGTGTTTTTTCGTGCAAGATTCGCTTGTTTCCGAGCTCTGCGGTGATGTTGGCACGGGCTGTCGTCTCGACATGCATAGCATTCAACGCGCAGCGGTTTACTTTTATCCACAGAGTTGCTGTTGCTAATAGCTCACTCAGACTGCTATTGTTTTTGGCAAGACTAGACGATTTAGTTGCACTCGTGGTGAGGTGCTTGCTCTCCGCTGCACTTTTTTTGCTATTCGTGTTTGGTGTCATGTTCTGAATACGAACGATTCCTTTCGAGTATGAAAGGGGCTTCACAAAACGCGGAAACCGGGGGGGGGGGGGGGGGGGGG